ACTTTCCGGCCCTTTTTTGCCCTCTTTCGCGTGCTTATCTTTCTCCTTCTCGTCGTGCTTATTCTCATCTTTCGCTTTGGCTGGATTGTCATTTTTCTGTCTTCAAGATATATGTTGTTTTGCATGAACCTGCAAAATATGATATTCAAATATTTGCTGTTATTGATGAACAGCCAATATGACATATTATCATGAGAAGGAAAACAGAATGCATATTTTGCAGTGAAGCAAGTAATTTAATACTCCTGATTACTTATAATTATACCAAAATGAGAAAAGTGGACACCATGAAACAAGAAAGTGATGGCCTGGTACAAATTGTGTCCTACTTTTGTGCATTCTCAACAAAATATTTTGGCAATTTATTTTTTAACCATTGTCTATTATCCCTTCCAAATTTTTGGTATCAGGTGTCTTTGTTTATTTGCAGCCATAGATTAGAATAGTACAATGTTTTTGCTATTTATTGAGTTTTATGCTACATGAACATTCACATACTATAATTGTTCATAAAATGAAAAGAAAAATATTGCCTGCAATATGACTAATGAACTTAAGAACTCCGAGTTTCATAATACGAGCGAATAGGGGTATTATTCAAGTCGAGTAGTTCATGTTTAAGCTTGTGCTCATTTATTAATGAGTCGAAAACAAGGCTCAAGATCAGTTGGTGAAATTCGACTTCACTCATTTAAAATAAGAAAAATTAAAATCTTAAACGAGTTGTAATGTTCGCAAACAAGTTTGGCTTCACAGATTCATTTAAAATCGAAAAAAAAAATAATGACTTGTTGCAAACATGCTCAGTTCGGCTCATTTAATAAATGAGCTACATTAATTGTTCGTCAATGCAGTCCACTTAGGTGCTCGAAAAAATTAGCCCTCCGCGTAGATCGGTTCAAGCGGTTTCAAAGTCGGTCACGCCTAAATTGATTAGTCGGTCTGTAGGCGCTTTTTTTTAATATATTTTCAAAATATAATAAAACCCAACAAATGTACAATCATCATAATACTAAGATAATAATCATATAAAATTAATATTATAATTATAAATTTATAATTTTATCAACCATACTAAATAGTCATTAAATGTATTTTGTAAGTTAATCCATAATTAAAATATAAATAAATTTATTTTTACAACTCTTTATGGGCTCAGTCTAATTCTCGCCTAAGCGCTAGGCCCCAGTTAGACATGGCCAGTCAACGGGTCAGGTCATGGCCTGGCCCGGCCCGGCCATGCGGGCTTCTCATGGGTGACCCTTAATCGACCCGCCAAAAACCAAAGGCCGAGTCCATCGAACCAGCCCCCGTCTCGGACCGTCGGGACAACCGGAGACGACCCGTAAAGCCACAGTGCCGGTTCTCGGAACCGACAACCTACGGGCCAGGATCGGGACGACGGGCCGACCAGTGGCCATTTCTAGCGCCAGTTTGCCGGCTAACGAACAACTAACACTTTTTAGAACTTTAATTATTGAAATTATCTTCTAACGAGGGGAGATCGATCTTTTACGCACGAACCGATTTGTGTTGACCAACAATTGAGTTCGTAAACATGATAAGAAACTAAAGGCAATGATTGTAAACGATAAAATTAATAGGGAAATGTTATGACCCTGTTATGGAATTATTCAGTCGGATGTTTTTTAACCTCATGAAAAATATATCATTTTTATTTAGAATGGCGTGCACATAAAAAAAACAGCTGC